AATATATATATCCCCTTTATTTCTTGTAGTTTAATTTAATTTGTAACCTCTTGGGTACATAGCTTTAATTCTTTTCCCTTTTTTCTTAATCTAATTGTTTATAATTAACCGTTAGAAAGAGCAATATTTTCGAAATTGATTAAAATTATTTTAGAACCCTATTCCTCTGCTTTATACACTTTCTTTATGGCTTTTCATGGGATTCCTAATCATCTGCTTCACCATGAAATCATTGATGAGGATTGTTTTATTTTAATTAAAAAGAGCGGCAAGTCCTCCCTCTTTTCTTTTCCTCCTCTGAAGAACCCCGACCCCTGCACCACGGTATGGCTACGTCGAACAAGTTAAAAATATATCAACTATATTTCATGGATTAATTGCTTGCATTAAAAGTGTAGTTCATGAATTATTTTTAATCAGTAAACATTTATAGTATCTTTTGGAGTGCTTTAACTATGCGATGTTTATATCTCATTTTTAATATTAAAAAAAATTATAATTATAACTCAATAATTTTATATTTAAATTATATTTAGTTTGAGTGAAGTTCAAACTATCTTATTAGATATTTTAAATATTTCTTTGACTATAATAAAACTACTTTTATGATAAATAAGACCATTTTAATCATTGTTATGGTCATAATAGTATTAGTATCTTTAACAATATAAAAGCTCTTCAACAATATCTATATATAAGTAAATCAAATAATAATAATAATAATAGTAATAGTTGATTTACAAATAAAAGATTAATACGATATTGACATCAAATAAATTCTAGTAATATAATGGTATAAAGAAAACTTTATTAATTTACATTATCTATAGTATTATTTTAAAAAATAAATGTAAGCATAATACAAAAATAAATGTTAAATTACTTTTCAAAATATAATTTTACTTCATTGAATGTCAAATAAAAATTTACAACCACTACATTATTAAAATTATCTAAAATTTCGCTATTTAAAAAAACAAATAAACTAACCATTACTATAAAAGTATAGTTGTTTTACCTCTATCAAAGATCCATACTAAATATTATGTTATGTACCAAATCCAACAATTTACACAAGTTTTATTATTAAAAAAAATAATTTGCTTTGATTACTTTAGCTTAACCCCGTTATTACCTCTAATTTAGCATTAGTTTTGGCGTTGGAATATGAACTAAAAATAATAATTTTGATTAATTAATTTTTTTAATGCATGTTATATTATTTATGAAAAAACATATGTAAATGTAATTGAGTGTTGAAAGACACTAATGATGTCTCTTAAGAAGTAACTGAGTGTTATATTATTTAATGCTTATTTTTATTATTTGTTTTATTTAAAAAAAATCGTTTGATATATCTAATCCATGCGAATATTTAAATGTCCTATATCTAATCCGCTCAATGGACACCCCTACTTTTATCATAGGATAAGAATAACATTGAAAGGTCTTAAATTGCTATATTAGAGGTGCCGAATATGGATGTCAAAGTGCAATTCACCAAAACCCTAGTTCCCCTCATCATGTAATTCAAAACTTAGAAAACTAAGACCAATATAACAATCAAATTAAAAACATAAATCTAATATCAACTTTTAAATTATAGTTATTAAACTCAGTTCGAGATTAATCTAGTCAATAATCCAAATCCTAAATCACCCCAAAAAAATAAAAAAGAAATTCTATATTTTAATAGATACTTCATTACAAACAACATCCTCATCTGCATTACTAAAAAATTAAAGATTTTATAATATTATAGTTGAAGCTTGATACAAGAACACATTAAAAAGCAATGTAACATACATAAATGAATTCTTGTCAACACCTTCACTTTGATACAATGAACATATTAAGCTATTTTGCGTCCAAAGTACGGAAAACTACAATATGCTACAGTTGCAATATAAAAAAATCTTGGTGTTTGACAGAGAAAAACTTAATATAAAATGAAACACAAACTATTAAGATTTTATGATCCCCTCCCCCATCCTCTTTTCGAAATTAGAGAATGATGCAGGAGGAAATTTAAGTTCACAAGGTAAGTGAATTTCTCAAAATAAGGTCTACGTGGTGATTCATCATAGAAATTCAGATTCTAGTAGAAGTTTGAGGTACTCTCTCTGGTGCTAGTGTGGTTGTGGGGAAGCTGGGGGAGTGTGCAAAGTGCAAACCGTATAAAACTAGGAAAATGATGTAAACGAAATTAACATGGTCATTGTTTGTCACCATAGAATCTTAAGCATCCTTGAAATAGAAAGTTATTCATTGATACAACTAAAATGAAAAAAAAAAAAAGAAAAAAAAGAACATGTAATGAAGAACAGGGAGCAAAATTGGACTAGTTTTTCATTTTTTTTTCTCACAAATATTAATGGCTTAAGAACTAAGGAAAGAACAAAGGAAGAATAGGAGAGGAAAAGGGAAGGTCGGGCTTCTATTCCCGAAAGAAAACAGTAGCACTTTATTAATCACGTCAAGTCATTGAGTTTCGATTGATTTGACGAGAATATAACTTTGTTTTTTATTTATATAAAATTCCTTCTAGATCTTAAATTAACCTGCTAGATTTTATTATCATATTTTAAATTACTCTTAACATTATTTTATTTCTTTTTTTTTATCTCTCGATATCTATTATGATGTCACGAGTTCATTCCTAACTATATATGAAGATTGGTAAGAAAAAGTTTGGTAGATGGAAGATTTATGGTAGCGTATAGCAGCAGCGAATAGAGAAAGGTATTACAGAGAGCAAGAGTGGGCATACGCAGCACAATCTTCTTTCCATAAGGGATTGTTTGTTTTTAAACTGTATTTGGTGATAATTTTTTAAAAAAAAATTCTTGTTTTAATTTTTAAATTGTTTTGATTTTTTTAAAATAAATTTTATATATTTTCAAATAAATACTATTTAAAAAAATAAAATAATTACTGTTGAAACTGAGTACAGGAAAGGTCCATGAAAGACGACGACGGGGCCTGTCAAAAGTCAGTGGTTATGGATATATTTGCGGGTTTTGGACAGCCCTAGGTGACTTGGCGAGCAATGATTAGGCCATGATGTTAGTTACCACAACCGAATTTGTTTGACTTACCTGCGCCTCCCACGTTGGATCATGTAGTAGTAGTGATGATGATGAAGTAGAAGCCGACGTTTCTGATCATGAATACATCATCTCTTCAAGAACTGCCAGCTTCGTAGGAAATCAACAGATAAGCACTTCCAAAGTTTAAAAGAATGAACTCTCTAGCTTCCTGCTTTTGCTGCATGGTGATCATACGGCATGTCAAGGGAATAAAACCTGAACTCGACATCTGCTGCCAAAACCATGACAGCAAAAGCAGTTCATCCAGCTCGCGCCATGTGCCCTAATGCTTGTATTCCTCGTTCACAATCAAGACATTGTGGCACTCTATAAATGGATGCCAAACGTGAATGTGCCGTTCATTTAATGGATTTTAGCATCTTTCACAGGTGCTTTAGCAACGTTTCATTTCATAGTAGTCAGATGACAACCACAGAAGTGTTAATGCCTGCCTATTCAGGTAGAGACCAAATAATCATACGTCTTGAAGATCGTGTTGCCGTGTTAGTATGTTAAAAAGAAACCTTCTGTCCATGTCCTTTGATGGCTATGGCCAAAAGAAAGAATGGCTAGCTAATAGAAAAACAAGGCAAGAGAATCATGGAAAGGAACATGGACTTCAATTATTATGAACTCAATTTGTACATGTACAACTAACAAAAACTATAGCCTGATATCCTCTAAAACAATTAAATCCTCCCCCTGAACAATTAACTTACCAACTTAAATTCTCACATGCAAAAAAGAAATGACTTTTCACTCATCATCTGCCTACTGACGTGAAATCTTCCCCGCCACAAACCAAGACACAATATCCAACATGGTGAATTTGCATTTGATTTGACCTTTTCAATTTTCACAAGCACTGACCTTTGTCTCTGCATCCTGATCTACATGATGATAGACTACAAGCTTCGAATTGTGTCCACTCGATCAATAACATCCAAGGCCTTCATACGGTCTATATCAAAGTCAATGACAGGAACAGATGATGGCCTTCTGATGGGAAACGGATCTTTTCTAGTTTCACCCATCGGCGAGTGGCTACTACTTTTACTCAGTCGATGATGCTTACTTAACCTGGTTTTTGCAGTATCAAATTCCTGGCTCTTACTTATCCCAGGAGTCTTTTTCCTCTTACTCACATCCCGAAGCATCTCTTGGTCTTCAATTGTCAACATAGAGGATGGAGAGCTTGGCCTTTGTGACAATTGAATTGTCTTCTGATTTGGTGACCGAATTGGAGATTTAACTGGAGATCTGAGACCGCCATTGGCAGCTCTTACTTGGCTGACAAGATGGTGAAGCCAAACCACCAACTCAAGAATATAAATTTCAGTCTTCTCCTTGTCTGCATGGTGTAGTGTCTCTATTCTGAGCAAGTCAGTCTGTCCAGCAGGTTTACGATTCACCTCAGACCTGAAGAATTGGTCGTAAGAACTCAGCACATATGAGATAAAAAGGAAGGGCACAAGCAGATTTGGAACTCACCCTGTATTCGCCCATTCTCCAACCCAGCCAAATCCATGATGAGCTCTGGTTAAGTGCATGCAAAAAATGTTAACACAAGGACAAATAAATGCAAACAAGCCAACAAGAGAAGAAAGATCGTGAATATTAAGATCACAAAATCTCTAAATAACTTTTAGCTCCCGCTTTAAAACTGTTCACAAGGACCATGCAGTTAGGGTGCTTTGATGAGCAGAGGGGATGAGAATGGATAAGAAAAGGAACAACACAGGAGGAGGTGGAACAGAAGTTTGGGTATGGTACAAGACAAAAGCTGCTTTTCATCCTGTCCCATGTGCACATCAAACTCCAATACAGGTGAAGTTATCCTGCAATGTCTTGTCCAGTCCCATGTACAAAAAACTATCGAACTTCACCTTAAGTAATAATCTGTTAGATTGTTATTACTATTAGTGCTTGAGGATATCATGATTTGTGAACTTGAATGAAATTGAGCAGATGACGAGATGCGGTATCATGGGGTACAGGCTAGCCGAGGTAAAGAAATCTAGACTCTGGGCTGGAATCTTACTTGTTTGTGTTAGTAGCAATAGGAACAAGCCAATGCAAAGTTTTCTCCATTTCAGCTTTGATTTGTGAAACTGTCAGCTGCAAGAACAGCGTTTGAAAAAATAATTATAAACAATGCATTGACAAGAAAATGACTAGAAGTGTAATTTTAAGAAAGGATTGTTCAATTAGCAGCCCATTGAAAACATACAAAGATAACATATCAATGAACAAGTCAGTCCCATGATAACATCAAATGATACCTCTTCCTTAACTTGAAATGACAGTAATTTTGAGCGCAAAGCAGATTTTATATTTGGTGGCAATCCCTGGTACAAAGCATCCCTCGTATTTGGAGGAACAGAACTTGATCGGGACACCTGGTCACATTCAGGTATTAGATCAGAAAGGGAAGAAAGAAAAAAGCAGCAATTTGACAAGAGCTCCAGGACTGACCCTGATTAATGCAACATTGAAAACCTCAGAAGCTGAGGTTTGAGATACAGAAACAAAATCCTTAATAGGAAAGATAAAAGAATATCAAGTCTGGGTGAAATCATAAACTCACAAGAGTATCAATTTGGGTGATAATATTTGCATAATGCAATGCAAGACCAGCAGGCCCCAACTTTTTATGCTTCAAAGAACTTTTTACTGGTCTATCGCCATCTGCAAGTGAAAACATCAGTTAATGAACCCAGCAAATTGTGAGATAAATTTCATACTATTTCATTGTTCCAAGCAAGGAAACATGGAGGGGAGGGGGGGGGTGTCATGCATTAAACATTTTCATTAACAAGAAATTTAAAACTCTGTTTGGATTGCTCACCAGCACTACCAAAGGCTTCATGAATCTCCAAATGCAAGAAATGGACAATATCGACCAATTTCTCCATCACCTACACAAACATGTTAGATTCATGTTGCAATATCACTATGAATAGTTTCAAAAAAAATAAAAATAACAGAAGGATTTATTGCGTTGCTATCACTTGACAGATGTGGAATATGCATTGTCCATCCAACATTAGGATTGCATCACTGCATTATTGTGGTAGGATCAGAAAACACAATGATCAACGAGGGTTCATAAATATGAGAACCACCAGAATAAGAGCATATTTCTCTCCAATGACCCCCTAGAACAAGGCACCTAAATGCCTTAATGCCTCATACCTCTTCCAAAATCTTCGACCAGAGTGATTTCTTCTTCAAACTTTTCACATGCTTCCTTTGACTCTTTAACTCGGCCCTTAAAATTGAAAGACTATCCCCTACAAGTGAATTAGACACAATGAAAAAAATATTACTTGCAGATGTTAATATTCATCAAGATGAGGAAAATATGGAATAGAAGTAAACATCTCTCAAATAGTCCAGCATATTTAGGACAGGATCTCAGATTCTCGGCAGTAAGTATTCGGACAGTACTGAAAATTATACGTTTAGGTTTTTGAAGGCTAGGCTCGGAGCAGCCCAGCGAAAGGAATTAGAGATTACATGCAAACTAAACACCAGCCTTAAAAATGAAAATTAGAGATTACATTCTTTTACCTCTTTGAGCAACGTTTGTTTTGTCATCTTCCTGAAGCTTACGGCGGTAATCTTGTTCAAATCTGTCCAAGGCATGCATTTCATGATACAGTTCCTACAAACCAAAGGAAATATTTCTTCTTTGAGTAAATCCAAAGGATAACATTGAGAGAATACTAAGCTTGAAATTGTCAGGATGGATGTAACAACAGGCTGATATTAAACTATGTGGCATAGCATTTTCAACAATGCTGGATAAAGACGGATGGACCACAGCTCAAGCAAAATTAAAAAAAAAAAAAAAGGAATCATATTAATGAGAAAAAAAATAAATAGAATAAAACCAAATAAAGCATTAGCAGCACATAAAGCAGACTCTAGATGCCCATTCATGACTTCAGTACAATCATCAGTACAACATATCTGGATCATTGATACAATCAACTTAGTCATGTTCTAGTCATAGCATTTGAAAAGAGATAGTATTTTGGTCTGAAATGTATGTCATTAGGTGAGCAAGGGGAAGAATTCTAAGATTAAATTTATGACATTCTTCATTTTACATAAGCATTTTGCTCAAAGGCCATGTTAAGAGTGAAGAATTTGTTGTCTATGAATCATAGCAGAAGAAAATAAAACAAGTACATAAATTTTATTTGAAGTCCAACATCCTGGAATGTAGGAGTTTCCTTTTTGGTGTTTCTCTTCCTCCCACATATTAAAATCGATGCCAAAAGGAAGGGGAAAAACGCAATTGAGCTGAAAAAACTGAAAAGTCACACTCCCTTTCAAATTAGAACGCATCAAGACTTTTTTTTTTTTTTTGCAGATAAAAATTTCCACAGAACAAAGAAAAAAAGAACATTGTTAAATGCTTTTCAAATCACCACGCCTAGATATGCAATGTATTATGCAACTGGGGGGTAGTTATATGCTACAGTATTGTTAAATACTCACTGCTGTATACTGAACCAAATTCATCAATTGATGCATAACTGCCTCAGCTTCGTCCTTCAATTGCATTTCAGGTGTCAATTCAGAACCCAACCTAAAAATCATATGGAATGATGTAAGAAAATTTGAGAAGCTTACTTCAGATATTCTAAAGGACAATCAACAACAACATTACTTTTCAAGATAACGGTCCAAGTTGTGCCACTGAGGATCTTTACAACGATTTCCAAAACGCACCACTTCTCCGGAAAAAACTTTCAGTTCTTCTCTGTCACAATTGTATAGTGAATTGATTAATATTTTCTGTACATGCTTCCTAGACACTGCTATAAGATCAATGTAATAAAATGGATGAAAATTTGTTTTTAAATTAAAATCACAATTTATGCAATATTAACCTCTTATCAGTTGCTGCTAGCCTCAAGAGTTCATCCATGTCACTTGATATTAAATTTTGCACCCCCTCTGAGAGAAGCACAACCTCTTTTAAATGTCTAATGTTCTCTTTTGAAAGGGATTGCATTAGATTGGCACCCTTAACAATTGTGTTTGCAACTTCAAAAGCCAAAATTGAAATCTTATTCCCTTTTGTGGTCACTCCAGAGGTAAAACCACCACTGCTAAGATTTAAATTGGTCATGCTACTACCAAGTGTGTCCAATACATCATATGCCTTTCCAAGCCCAGCAGTACCAGCTCTTCCCAACAGTGAGCTCACTTCTGAGACCTGCAACACCAAAATAACCAGCTTTCTTATTGAGGAAAATCCTTATACACACTTCCTCAGAGCCACTTCAACATCTATATCTGTTATCAGTGTGCATGAAAGAAGATCCTATATCAATGCATTGCATTGTGGACACAAGAATTCACTCCATGTGCATTGCGAAGTATATAATCATTCCATGCATGAATCTGATAATGATATTATAAGATGCAATGTATTTGGAGATGGAGGATTATTAAGCATTTGATTATAAATGACAAAAAAAGTAATCTACTAGAACAAGAAAATTCAACCAACTCTACTTACAAAAAGCACAAATAGACTCTTGCAATAAAACAAAATTGGTTTTTAAGGAATGATTTTTCGATGTTAGGAATGTATAATATCATTCCTGAAAATTAAATATTTTAGTTGGCATACTCCATTTGGCTAATAGGACCGTGATTTCTTTTCTTTTCTTTTCTTTTGTTTTTTTAATTATTATTATTGCTTTGTACTCCAAAATGGCGTCAATGCATCCTGATTTTCACCTTCTTTTTTCACCTTTCAGAAGTATCAAACCACACACATGCTTTGTTTTTATTTATTTAGTTAACATTCATTTTTTTTATCTCCTCTATGTTTATATTATAAGAGTGAAATGTTGAAAACATAACATTATGGAAACTTGTACTAAATTATTATTTTATTTACTAGCATGAAAATATGTGGAAGGTTGTTATGTTATTCAATTAACCATATAAGCAAAGTTTTAATAATTGTTACTTACTATGTATAGATAGATGTTATCTGTCAAAGGAACAAATATTGTCAATTAAAATTTAAAATATTCACAGTTGTGCTTTACAGAATATTACACATCATAATATGGTAGAGATAACGTCTTCATTATTAACAGGAATGATCCACATCGAACGTACTCTTCCTTAAATTAACCCTATATCATACAGATGCCCAAAGCTAGGAAACATCATCACACATATCAACTTAGAAGTGCAATTGTTCACGAATAATAAATGTGAAATCAGCATAACTTCAGACTTAAGTCTTAACCCTGTGACAGGTTCCCCCCTCTATCTGAAACATTCTACTTGAGGCTTTCATCAACAAAAAGAAAAATAAAAAGGAGGCAGCAGATCCCCTTGACTCAAGCCTCTCAGCTAATAAAGAAGCCATACATAAATCAACTAGAACTTTTACTCTTCGAAGGTAAAACAGAAGATGCAAATTAATACAGATAGGTGAGACCTGCATAAAATATATATGCTAGAGAACAAGGCTCTAGACTTAAATCAATCTTTGTCTGTTACAGCCAATAATCACACATTAATACTCTTTCTAAAAACATCAAAACAGTGTCCAAAAGTCCAATGGGATTTAAATTTCTAAACTAATCATGGTAAAGGACATTAATGGCCATGGAAAAAAAGTGAAATGCTTGTTCAATTTGCTGCCAGACCATTGCGTTCAAAATTTTAGACCAGAAGTAGTTATGAGAATTTACAGACAATTTTCAGCATTTCATAAATACTAGTTACATATTATGTGATGTGGTTGCAGCTTTCATTTATCTTTATTCTAATGAATCCAACCTTTAGAGACAAGGCAATGGCTTCATTTTAGCAGTATAATCTGCTCTCTCCAAATGTCATAGATAACAAGTTTAACTTCCAGGAACGCAGGTCAAGTATACACTTTATATTGCGACTTTATATTGTGACTTTGTTTACATGCTACAATCAAAGTTTCAGCTGAAAATATAACATAGGAAACAGCAAGCTGAATAGAAGGCTAACCTTTGCAACAATTAGACACAGGAAGTAATTAGACAAGAAGTAAACAACACACAAATTAGGCTAACCTTTGCAACAGCTACTGGCGTGGACTTGGTTGATCTGGATTTATTGGACAGAGCCCTTGACAAGCGAGGAATCCCATCATCGATGTCATCTGGATTCATCCCATATTGAACCACATTCACCTCCGGAAATGAAAAGGGTTCTCTTAGCTGCTTATTATCCACGTTGTTCTCCCCAGCTAGAGATGGATTTGTATTGCTATCTATTTTCAATTCACGAGTCTGAAAAACCAAACCAGACCCATGACTAAAATGACCATTCAACTGCAGAAAGCCTCCACTGGGAGCATTATCTACAGTCGAGCTCCTCGAGCAAAGCCCCCCCATTGTGATGATCGCCAAATTTATTCAATTATCGTTCCAAAGTTCCATACAAAGGGTCAAAGCTTGTTGTTAACAAGAATTAGGAAAACCCTTTTATCAAATTACACTAAAGAGGTAATGATTGGTAGCAAATCAAGAGCCCCCTTTATAAGTTCACCGCAGAATTGATCTAAATGACTTTGAAGCTGAAAATGTAGTCCATTGTTGCCTCAAAATCACCACAATACCAGTTACTATCACCGCTGAAGTTCCAATCCATTAACACCAACCCCACCAAAACTGTAAATAAAAAAAACAACTAGCTCATGAAGTCCAACTTACAAATCCGGGAAAAAAAAAGAAGCAACCTGATCAACATCAAATCAAAAGGGCTCATACTATCAAAATAAAAAAAAGAACAAAACAACCCAGTTCAAAAAAGATTAGTAAAAACTCAAGAACACCAAAAAAAAAATGATAACACAGTCAAATTAACTATGTACTGATGAAAACCAAAGCAACCCAAAACCACAATCAAGAAAAAGCATCAACCTTTACTCGAGAAACACAGTCCTAAAAAGATACATTAAATTTGCATCTAATTTAAAGCAAAACAGGAAGACAAACTTACCAGTTAGATAGGTAGAGATCTAGAGACAATATAGAAAAAAAAATATATGACTTGGGCTTTGTTTCTTCATGTAAATAAAGATACAACAAGAAAGAGCCAAGGAGAAAGAAATGATGGTGAAATAAAGAGATCAGTAAGTCAAAGCGCATAAACAAAGGGTCCAAAGCCTGCTGTCAGCGGCTATGGAACTGTTGATAACCAAATCATAGCGAAACGAGGACAACAACTAGCAAATGGATGGGTAGAGAGGGGATAGTCAAAACCCAAACTAGACTCCACTGGCTGCTAGCAAGCACACACTCATAAATAGTTTAACCATGGTTTTATTATTACCTTTTTTGGGTTTTTCTAACACTCATTGCCCACTCTCCTTTTAGGCATCTTCTACTCACACACTTCGGTTTTTTTCTTTATGTTTTGATCAGGGTTTAATAACAGTGGTTAGCAGGACCGAGGCAAAAATATTAAATAGCCTTAAAAAATATTTCTAGATTATTATACAATCTTAAGAGCCATAAGAAAAAATATTTTTTAGATTTTTTCACAAGTATAATTTTTTGAGGAATTATGAAAGTTAAATTGTCTAATAATATCTTTTTTTTATTGGATTAATTATAGATATTTAGTTTTTTTTGGCTTGGATGCCTAGTTTATAATATATTTCATTAAATTTATTTCTACATATAATTTCAAAATTTTTTTTTTTAAAATACTTTGTGGATTAACTATAATCTTAACTTATTTTTAGATTTCATGCTGTGAGGAAATTATGTACATTTTCATATACCACTCTAGTATTGTATGTGTATGATAGCCATTAGTGATATTTACAATAATAGCCAAAGTAAAAAATTTTAAATTAAAAAAATGATTAAATTAAAAATATTAAATATGATAAATTAGAATTGAAGGTTTAATTGAAAATAAATAAAAATTTAATGAAAAGATCAAAGATAAAAACTAAAAATTAAAAAAATTAAAATTAAAATTGAAATATTAAGAACAAAAGGATCTACTAATATTTTGCAGGTAGGTGAGAAAAAAAAAATGACCAATAATATCAATATTCGTTAACATACATTGCACCAAGAAAAAAAATATACAATAACACGTCTAACGACATGATGTAATGACATTATATAATACTAGGAAACACTATAACCATCATTCAAATACATAAATGTCTCATACATTCTGGTATATAAACAGCAATCAAAATATTTAAATCTATTATTTATTTATTTATTTTAATCTGGCTGAATTAGATTAGTTTAATGATTATATTTACTTTATAAATAACTACTAATTTGTTAATTTTTTAATTAATTATAAAATAAAATTTAAAAATTAAAAATTAAAACCAGGTCTAGCAATAAATCAAGTGAACCATCACCTATATATTTACCTATATATTTACTTAATAAGTAATATTATTATCCCTAATTCTTAGCAATACTTATTGAATCAGATATTATTATTATTATTATGCATAAGAAATATACATATGAATTAATATGTCTAGCAAAGCTAATTGCTCCAAACCAGGAATATAATTAAGAAGAAAAGAATTATAACATTGAAGAAGAACGAAAAAGGTTCATTAAATGGAGAAAAACAAAAACAAAAGTCGAGAGTGTATCCACGCGCCGTGGTGAGAAATTGGGCAATAACTTTCCCTTCAACAATGTAACCCCGTGAAACCCCTTCAAACGTTTTCACACCTCCTAATCAATCCCGTAACCGGCTGGGATCGACGTGACTAATTGACAAATAATCACCCTATAAAATACTTAAATTGACAAAAAAAATTATTTAATAATGAGTTTTAATATTTTTATAATTTCTTTTAACTTGGTTTTTGTCTCCATAACAATTTATTTTTTCCCAAAATATACTAAAGGGTAATTTGAAAACTCAAAAAAAAAAAAATAATAGTCAACTTTGTTCAAGGGGTTAATATACGATTTTTAGAACTAGGGGGACTAGTTTACAAAATCATAAAAAAGGACTAAATTTTTATAATTTATTCCTCTTTGACCACTCATTTCAAATCTCTGGATCTAGGTTATATATATATATAATGGATTTTTTGCAATAAAATTAAATTTATTTATCCAATTCTATGTTTTATATATATATATATATATATATATATATATAATGGATTTTTTGCAATAAAATTAAATTTATTTATCCAATTTACTTGAAGGCAGATCATGAAATTTAGCTCTAAGGACGTTATAAATCTCAATTTGTTGATAGAGTTTAGGCCACTTGTCATTGTCACTTTCCAGGAGCTTGGTCATTTAAATTAAAGAGTGTTTGATGCATGATAGTTATTATTTTTTAAAATATTTTTTATTTTAAAATATATTTAAAAAATTATTTTTGACATTAATATATTAAAATAATTAAAAAAATTAAATAAAATTAAATAAAAAAATTTAAATCCTTTAAAAATATGGGATTTTAAAAAAAGATTGATGGAGTTTTACGAGGTGTTAATAATATGTTTGGGATCAAATCATATAAGAATTTAATTTCAGTAACAAAAGCTGATCTAAGAATCCCAAATGCCTTGTTAATTAAAGCATGGTAAAGTTGGGATTACTTTTCTTTCTTTCTTTCTTTCTTCTTTATGCACAACCTTTCATTGCCAATTTCAAAAACAAACAGCAATGAAAAATTATCTTGAAGCTCGGATCAAACTGAACTTGATCCATGAATTTTAATTTTTTTTATTTAAGTATTTCAAACTATTTCTAGTAAAAAATAGATTTTTTAATTAATTTTAACTGCAAATAATAATTTAGAAACACAATATAATAATAATAGGATAGAAACCTAAATGAAATGGCCTATTTTTTTATTAAAAAAAAATATTATAGTGCTCAAATAAAAAAATAAATTTAAAGAGTTAAAGATCAATTTAACCCAAAAGTCAGGATAATTTCAAGCAATCAAGCCTCCTAGAGAGTGCTTTAGACATAATCCTAGTGTTAGACTAAATCATAGATAAAGGACAATATCCACCATGATGAAGCTGCCCAAAATTTCACTTTAGGAATGATTTCTAAACTTTAGTCATAACCTTCTTATGTTTGATGCCATCGTAATTACATTTAATGCGGATATGCATACAGCAACCTTAATCATACGCAGACATGCTAAAAGTAAAAATTACTTAGCAGCCATCTCAAAGATATCAGGAACTGAACTTGCAAGTTGCCATGGCTACGTTTATCTTCATGCACAGAGACAACCGCAGGTGCATGCTAGAACGTGGAAAGGATTCAGAGCTTCCTGGAAGCTTTTTACTAGCATGAAAACTGGCTGCTCAACAGTATTCAAAGCAAAATTAGTATCATAAGAAGTCAGAGTTAAACTATCTGTTATAGGGCACAAACATACCAAGAGCGGTGCATCTCATTACTTTCTGAGAAATGATTAGCAGTCGCAGCTTCCTTGGTTCAACTTAAGTTATTTTTAATCATGAGCAAAGATCACTGATGTAGCTGCATGATGAAACAAGACACATTCACTGGATCAAACAAATGGTTTTTTCCGTATAATATCGAACAATGAAATGATTATACTCTGATTATATAAAGGAAAGAATTTTACCCAACAATTGAAATGCAAACATGGTGGTAAGAAGGATAATCCTAGGGAAAAAGTAAACTGGAACGAAGTTTCGAGGTATGCTAACTGTTCATCTCCGAGATGAGTTCTAGTTCATCAATGATAGCTTCATAGCAGAAAATGTACTGTTCCCAGTGAACAAAGTTGAAGAGAGTCAGCAAAGATAATTGGGATGAATACATAACTAGAAAAATTACTTCAAAACACATCCCATTGCAGAAATCAATGCTCTTTCTTCTCTATGCCATGACAACAAAGAATAGACTAAATCCCACCCCTAACGAGGAAAAGAACAAAGGAGATAAAGAACCAAGAAGAGAATTTGAGAAATTATGACAGTAAGGCCATATGATATAAATAACAAGGTACATGCTTTATGTTCAATAAATAAATTCTCTACCAATTCCTGCACTGAACAAGAGAGAGGCTGTTTCAGATGTTATGGAGATCTAGCAAATTACCAGGGCCAAGACTGGGTGGCATATGATATGCTCTTTTGAGAATTTCAAAGACAGCATTTGTGTTCGTGGGAACTCCATGGTCAGGCCATTCGGTATACTTAATGTGCAAAAACACATAGGTGATTCCTCTGCCTGGAAGAAAAACAATCAGGGAGAAGGGAATAAAACAGGGCTGTCATCAAAAACACTCCAAGCAGTAAAATTCTTGGAACCAAACGTTATTACTGTTCCAAGAACATTAATTCATTCAGCAAGTTGTTTGAAAGTGGTACTGGACCTAGGTCCTAAACTAAAGCATACCTCTGGGAAAAAAAACTTGGTTTTTATATTGATGCCAGTTCTGGCCTTTTTAAGGTTTTCTATTTTTCAGAAAAATGGTGGGTAGTATAGTTAAAACACTGAGTTGTAAAAAGGAAGTCTGTGAACGTACAAAAGTGCTTCCTGGCCATTTATCTGAACACAAAAACAAAGGCTTTTGTCACCATCCTAACACTCTTCCATGTGAACACTGCAGAGACATTACCATTTATTCCTTGAAACATATAGCAACCAAACATTAGTATATATGAGAAACACAATTTACAAATAGGATAAACTATTTCAACAAATGGCCAGCCACCAGAACAAGGTCCGACTCCAAACTGAGAAACACATCAGCAATGAGGACAGCACCAAAATCATATCTGCGTTTATTGAAATCATTTCAATTCACGACATGTACTGCTAGGATGCAATTCGCATCACCTCAGAAATGATTTTCCTCCATCCAGGCAGATGCTGAATGTAGTGATGATATGCTCAGGTGGAAGATGTTTGTTCTCATAGGATCTCAATTGAGGTGATTGAGCAATAAAAGTCTCAAAGAAGAGGGATGTTAACAAGATCCCAGCTGCCAGAAGGGTACAGTTCCAGTACCCTGATCCCTTGTTTTCCACCACAGATGCACGCCACTTACAAGAGACAACTCCTGCATCTTTCAAAATATCAGTAACATGATCACTTGGTTTTTTAGAACCTCAAACTGCATTTCAATATTAGCATGTGACACTGGCCTACATATTCACGGCAATCGTGAACATAAATTCCTTACCCTAAGCTAAAAACAGTCAAACTGATGAAAAGGGTACGGTTGTGCTTCTTGCAGCTCTCTATTTCATCACAGTAACAAAAAAACACAGACATAATTTCTCATTTTCAGATTGCTTAAATGATCCATATACCATCATCGACAATGCTTCTGATAGTTTGAAAATATACATGTAAAATAAAATAAAACTTACCTCTTTGTAGCCCACGTCCAAGCTGCGCAACAGTAATGAGGTGTCAGTAGTTTTGACCCACTTAGTCACAATAGAAATATTTCCAAAATCTCTAGGACCATCTTCTGCTTGAAAGTAATCTCCACATTTTACAGTCTGCAGACATACAATTCAAATTCAGAACATTTAAGAAATCTATAAAAGTAAATATTGTGTGTATTATAAAACCCTTTACAACGAGGTTAAGTGCTTAATTATGGTTCATTACAGTAATTGCTTCTTTTTATAGGAGCTATGCATGTTAACCAACCCAAACTCACACACAGAGAAATTCTGAACAGCAAAATACATGGATAGCCTGCAGCATCTTCAGAAATGAGGCCTCATAGATTCACAGTCACTTCCGTAGCTGTCGCACATGACTAGGAAACAAAATAGATACCTTGAAATTAATACAGTGCATTACCTCATAATTGTCCACTAATCAAGTAATCATCACAATCACAGGACAATGGTGCTGTATTATCATCTCCCAGAAATCCTCGTACGTATGTGTTAGTGGGCCCTGTGTAGTAGCTATGAACCGAGAAATGTTTTCTGATGAAGAAGTCTGCAGAAAGGAGCAATTCCTATAGGGTTAGAATCACATACAGAAATATAGTTTCAAGTACCTCATATGAATTTTGACTGGGAAACAGAATAAACTGAAGCTTCAATGTTCTCTACCGTGATGAGGCTTGAATTTATATATATCCTCTCGCAGATGGTCTATAATCCTTAAATGGATTGAGAACAACCCTATTTTGATCAACAGTAATCACTAACACGAGAAAAAAAGTCAACTAATAAAAAATGAAGCAGCATACAAGTGACCTGAACTTCTATAAATTTAAAAACATCAGCTTACATGGTACGACATCCAAGTACCGGTTCTTGTTCACATTCACACTGTCAACAGCCACCTTGCAGCTTCTCGCCATCTGAGATGGTGTTATCTCACTAGCCTGCAATAACAAAGTCACGATAGAACAGCATACTTAAACATCTTGTGTGCAGCTCTTACAAACGAGGATTAAGTCCAAGCTCCTTCAATTAGAACTACATTTATTGATGCTAATTTTTGTGCAAAAACTCATCCTTAGAAAGAACCGAGCTTTCAGTTTCACTTTTATGGAGATCCTTTTCTGTTCCAAAACACAGCACGGTCAGCACCACTCTTTGATTTTGCTCAACAGGTTTTCTACAGAAGATAGACAGATTAAATGGGGAAGGATAATCAAACCAATCTATATTCTATGTCATCAAAGCAATGAAAGTCGGCACTACTTAGATTTTGCATGTCCATATGCCAGGCTTGTATGAATCATCTTTTACACGAGTGCAAAATCAACAGGCCTATACTGGAGAGTGGCAGCAGGGATTCAGTTGAGCAAAAAAGACTTCCAGAATAAACCTTTCTTCCAACTTGTTAAGCATTGCTTGGTGTGCCTCTCTTTATTCTATTTGGAAGGAAAAACTAGATGTCACGAAGGCAAATGCTCCTCTGATTACAGTGTTTGCTTCTATTCTTTTTGTTGTAAATGTAGGCTTCCTGGAACTCCCATCAGTAATTTTGCCATTACTCGGTCACTATTTGTAGTAATTATGACTTACTTCAGATCTAGTTTGGATTGATTCTGGTATTACATTTTCTAAGCAAAGTGTTGCTCATGTATTTTCACTTTCTTTCCTAAAATCACTTTCTTTCCCTTCCCCATTTTCTCAACAACCAAACAAAATGACCCCTCAAAATATCCTTAAAAACAGAAAATTACAAGAACCCAATTCATGATTCCAATCTATAAACTTAATGCCTAACAGAAAGGAGAAAAAAAATATTTTGCATAACAAAACAGCCCAAAACAGTGTAGGAGCTCAAAATGAAGTAGAGGAGGAGAAGAAGATTTGATTTAAATAAGTTGACGGTTACCTTTAGACCGTTGCTCAAAACTCACCGTTTGGCTAAGAAGTAATGCAACCGTTTCATTTAGTTGAGGGGCTCATCACAGATCCTTTTACGCACCGTTTCACTAAAACAACTAATTCTCTGGTTTAGTCCTTTACGCTGCGTTTTGGTTAGAATGAATTAACTTCCCTGTTCTTGCATGTCCTGGGAATTCATTCTAGAAAAAAACTAGCTAGGTGTGTGGCATTATACTTTAAATTAAATTTTTTGAACATGACGAATATAAAAAAGTTAAGATATAAAAACGTTAAGTTTAACTGCATATTAGATTCAATAATTTTAAAAAAAAATTATAAACTACTAGATCCAAAAGCACTTCGTTATAATATTAAACTTAAAATCATTAAATTTTATTATAGCTTTAGATCTTAAAATAATATTTATAATATTAATAATAATATTTATAATAAAAATAATATTATTAAATTTGCAAAGTTTTGATAGTTTTTATCATAGTTTTTCTCCAATAATAGTAATATTTTTTTAGAAAAATTAATAATAATAATAATAATAACAATAAAATAATACTAATAAGTATAAATTAGAATTTGATATTCTTGCTAGATTCAAGTTACGGAATTTCGCGCTTTAACAAGATCCAAGTTACTAAGATTTAACTCCCCTAATAATAAAAAAAAAAATTAAATTTATTTAATATAATTTCTTGTAATTTTTAATCTTTTTAAATTAAATTTATAGTTTCAAATCAATTTTTTAATCAGATTTGTAATTGACCCTTTCTCATTCAAGGTTTTAAAACATGTTAATATCCTAAATTTAAAGCATTCATGTTAGACTACAAAATCTAACATAATTTTAATTTCAAATATAAATATAAATATAAATATAAATGGACCTCAAATATAATTTTTTCTTTAAAATGGGTATTATATGTTTTATAAATTAACCAACCCCAGCATTATTCTGGGTCCCTTCCAAACTCAAGGAAAAAGAACCCTTGATTTTTAAGTCTCCATGCAAGATTTAACACTCCACTTCTTTCTTTTATTCCTTCTGACAATGATAATTCATAGGCGGTAAGAGGTTGAGAAACCCGTTGTTGTCCGACAAGGGACCTGTTTCACTTTAGAAACGAGCATGCTACATGCCTCATAAGGAAAGTGTCCCTTTCTTGTCCACGTGACTTTTTTTAGTTGGTCGTAAAATTATAGTTATTTTTAAAGTTTTTTTTATTTAAAAATATATTAATATAATATTTTTTATTTTTTAAATTATTTTTTATATTAATAAATTAAATTCATCTAAAAATATCAAAAATATATTAAGTTAAAGAAAATAAAAATATAAAAATATAAAATAACATAATTTTTTCTTAAAAAAATAAAAAAACACTCTAATAGAAAGTTGGCGTACTCTCGGGGCAGTACTTTGCACCTGCACCTGTAGAGTTTCAGGTATGGATTTAAAACCCGGTTTGTTCCGAGATTTGGCTGACTTGAAGTTAAAACCAGGCGGTTTAATAAAAAATAAAAGAAATTAAAAATTTAGTTTACATGTTTCGGTTAATTTGGTAATATCTCATAAAAAAATTAATTATAATTTATTTATTATTTATTTATTTTTAATCAAATTAAATAATATTGTTTTAATTTATAAAAAAATTAAAATTGATTCGATAATCCAATTTAAACTAATAACTTGGATCTTAAGCTGAATTTACCATCCAACTGAGTTTAATCCCGACAGGAGCATACACGAAAAAGGGCATGTTATACACAATTCCGAGACATATATTTCAACTGATCAAAAACCTAGTTTGTATTTCATAAATTTTAGAATTATTAAAAATTTATATAATTATTAATTTTAATTTTTCAAGAATTTAGTCGAGTGTATAAACTGTCCGAAGACTCTCAATTAAAAAAAAAAAAAAAAATAAAGGGCATGCTATACACAAGCTTTTCTTCTCCAGGTGGTGATGTCCGTGAGATTGAAAAGAATGTGAACAGTTTCCCATGGCAAACTGTGCCTGCAAAAATGGGCAAAGTCCAAATTGCTTGATGTGTTCACGTTCCAGGCGCTGCAAAAAGTTCGACTCAGACAAACACACTGATCATCCCCATCCACTGCTTTTGCTGCTGCAAGGAAGGACCTTCTTCCACCATATATACATATATATATACAGACAATTTATGGGCACCTGGATTTCTGTGTTCGCCGGAGCTGTGCTGCGCTGTAAAATATATGACATAACATGTAAAGTAAAACCAAAGGGTGAAATCCACAATGTTTTTTACTTCACACATAATCACACTACACTGTGGAATGAGACTGCTGCAGTGTTTTATTTTTAAATTTTTTTTTATACAGGCAATTATTATTTTGTTATTTAAGCTTGGACCAAGGTTCTCTGGGAAAAAATGATTCAGTCATCTGTTCGAAGGAGGAAGAAAAAGCAGTGGTTGTAAGAGAAAATTACTCAAATTATACTTGTATAATAATTATATTTTTAATTATATCAATTTAATTAATAGGAGAATTAGCATACGCAGTAACATACTCGCATATTCATAGTACGTACTACAAACCAAGGTTTCATTTATTTTTATTTTTTTAAATTCATGCTCCTCTTTTCTAGTATCCATTCTAGCAAAATCAAATATTTGCATCAACTTCTTAATTTCCTAAAATAAATTTAAAAAAAATTATGTATGCCCACCAATTAATTGAGATGTTTTACATTTCAATTTGAAACTTTCAAGTAAAATTCCAAAAAAATACAAAAATGAATCAAAGAACGAAAATGAAGCAAGAAGATGAACATAATGAGAACACATGTGAATCTCAAATAGCAAATTAATCATTTATCTATGAAAGACGAGAGTTAAGAGATATATTATTAATATGGTTACGGATAGTCTAATCTTGTTTAGAATATAAAGATTTAATTAGATGCACGTAAGCTATTTTAAAATAGTTTATATACATATATATATTAATAAAATATTTAATTATTTTTTTATTAATTAAGATGCGCCAAAACTAATATAAATATATACAATAATAAATAATAATAAAAATAAATAAAAAAACACAATGGCTCCATCCCGCCAAGGAGTTGGGGGGCTAGGCCAATAAGGTGGAACGCTGTCTGGTGCCTTTCCTATCCTTCTGTGCCGCTCTCGTCTAATTCAGGTTCGTCTTGTTTTTTGTTCTTTTCTGGCTACAAGTCCTGCAAGCGATCATGTGGGAATTCCTCTATCAACTCTCTGCTAAGCTCCAATTGTTTTTTAATATCATCACAAAGCTTTGACACAGCTCCAATGCACCACCTTGATTCTTTCTTTTTTTTTTTAGTTTTGGTTAATTCATATATTTAATCTTAAAATGTTGTTGATTAGTGGATTCCTCCTTGGCCATTTGTAGGGTCCAAGAGCAAATCAAGCAATCAGAGAAGGAGAAACACAAACAAAAACAATGCAGCTTTCAAGAAGAAGCACGGTGGAGGTCATTCCTCTTTAGAGTAACAGTGCTTTTACATGGGGGAGTGACGTTCTTTCTTGACACAAAAGAGCTCCATGGCAACCTTCACGAATAGGCTCTCCAGTACAACCCCAGCATAACAACGAAGAAAGGCAGCACAAAACTCCAAGGATGCGTCAGATCCTCCCCAAAAAGCAGCGAAACAACGAAAAGAAATCTCATAAAGCTAAGCACCATCTACCACATTACACATTCTGTCATTCAAACATGATCTACCAAGCCACCATTGCCATTCATTAACAAACCTTTACTCTCTTCGTCTCGCTCATGTTCTTTGTGACCAACGCCATTGCATGCGCTCATTTCCATGCTAGTTAGCTCCTTCGCCTTGAAAGCCTCATGTTCCCAATCTGTACGGACCATGACAACATAGAGAATAGACAGCGCACAAGCTATCTGGGCTGAGAGGAGCCCGAACCACAGCCCAGAAAACCCAATTTTCA